TGCAGTCGTTTTTACCTTGCGCAAAGCATGTGCGTTCTTTCCTTGAGCTCTTTCACATCGTTGGCATCCGTTTCAGGCTCAATAGTGGAGAGGAGCTCCTTCATCCCTCTAAAAGTGATTGCATGATTTGCTTACTAAAAGGCAGCAATCTTGCTGAATATTAGGTTGTCTCATAAACAGTGTCGCTTTTTTTCATCCAAAAAATTTTCATCTAAACCTCCATGCTTTTACATCGTGTTGTGTACCATTCGAAAGAGAATTGTCTGCTCTACAAAATGCTATGTCCCACTTCCACATTTCTTCCAGGGTTTTCAAATTTTGGGCCTGTGAAATGGGAGGTCCGGCCGACAAAAAATGGCCAAACCGACAACTATCTCTAACATTATCTTTCCTTGGGAGAAATCAATCTATGATGTACCTTCTACTTATGCATGACCTCTTCTAATCATTACACTACTAGGTTTTCCTACAAATCGCGTCGTTCAATTTCCAGAGCTGGTTTTTCAACCAGAACTCGACGATCGAGCACCATTACCTGTGATCTAGGTCGAAATTTTTTTATGGCCGAGACGTTGAAGAACTGGTTGAATTTGAAGAACAAGTCATGACTAAGTTAGGAATGTACGACTGGTTGATTTTCTCATTTTCTAAGGGATAATTTTTTTCAAAGAAATGTGGTCACTTTCGCGGTAAAGCACCTTATACCGAAACATCTAAAATTCGAACTAATTCCCAACAAACAGAGAAACAAAACAAATGAGCGAGTAGAGCAGAAGAAGTGCTCGTAAAAAGAACACCACTCGATATGAAACCAATGACGTTTACGAGGAAACAATTCGTTTTCACAGAGGAACAATTTTAATTTGAAAATTGCTATGGCTTATCCGTCAGCCAATTCGAAAAGAAAAACGGCAAAGCTTTTTCGGCAACCTAAGAGTGGAATGTTTAGAAGAGGTCATGGGTAAGTATAGGGTATATCACTGGTTGATTTCTCCCCAGGGAAAATAAAGTTACAGCCAGTTGTCGGTTTGGTCAATTTTTGCCGGCGAGACCTCCCATTTTGCTGGCCTGAAATTCGAAAACTCTGAAATAGCGGTGGAAGCGGAACACAGCATTTTGTAGAGCAGACAATTCTCTTTCGAATGATATATAAAACGATGTAAAAGTTTCATGATTTAGATGAAAATTTTTTGGTTGAAAAAAAACGACATCACTTATGAGACAACCTAATACATTCGAGGCGGACGATATGGGAGGCAGTCAGTGGAGAGTAGAGCATTGCTGAGAAGGCGAGAGAGGGGGAATCCACGCCATCAGCCGATAACCCTGCCTTCTACCAATAGACAGTATCCAACTCATCTCCGCATTCTCAGCACATGGAAACGCGCCTTTAAGTGAGACAATAGACTACACGATTCCTCGACCATGGCTCTTGCTGAGAGTAGTGCCGAGAGTGAATGTACGCGCGGAGAGCACAGACGGCTCGCGCGTGGCGAGAGTGAATGTCCGCGCGGGAGAGCGTGGATGAGCAGGCGAAAATCCTCGACAAGCCGTTCGACAAATCCTCGACCGATTCACCCTGAAAACCACCTTTCTATCCTTTATTCCAGCTTCACCACTGAATGACCATAACAGGTGCTTTCATAAATGGGGCGCTGAAATAGATAGTAGAAAAATTGAAGTAACATCCGCAGACCCAGAAGAGGACCTGGAAATCATAATTATGAAGGAAACAGAAAGTTTACTTTTCGACGCACCACTTCTGGGAGGAAATGACATCTTTCAAGTATGATTTTTCGATTTTGGTAAATCGCTTACAATTCGCGTTTCGCGCATGCGTTAAATCGAAATTGAAGAATTTTCCGACTTTTGGATCGCTACGGTACCGCGATCGTTTTGAAGAGCAGTGACAAGAAATTCGACATGAAGGGTCAAAAAATATTGCAAAAACCAGCGGGATAGCGGGGTTGTGCCCTTTGCCAGACGAAGAAGTACTCAAACGAGAATATTGTACTTGTTGCTAGTTTCACCAGTACACGTACACTCAACTATCACAATTTATTACTAGGTTCTTTTGCGAGTTTACTTCAATCCTGAGACAGAGAATCATCTGGTGGCCGAATCGGTGATTTTTACCCTTTTGTCGGAGCGTCATCTAGGTCCGAAACTTTACGGCATCTTCAGCGGAGGTCGATTGGAAGAATATATTCCGGTGAGTCATGTTACCTCATTGGCTATATTCGAAGCTGCTCAGATCTGACGAATAGCTTAGTAAAGGTAGTGTCACAATGGCTGGAGGGCGTTGCGGTTTCGATGACGTCATTGGAAGACATCGAAGAAGGTACTTCAAGAGGAGTTTCTCAACCACAAATCTTAGCGCGGTGAGGGAGCTAGTCTAGCAGTGACTTCCAGTGACGTCATCTAAACCGCTCCGCCCTCCAGCTATTGTGATCACTGCCTTCAATCAATGGACACAAATTTACTTGGTTTCCACTAATACGCTGAGAGGCTATAATATTCCTGCTTATTATCGAGTCGCTTACGTGCTTTTCGAAAATGTATCTTATTCTCGCTTGTAAGGGGCTCGTTCCCATTACGATATCTGGTGTCGGCTACCCGACTAAATAGATATTTTTTTGAATGTTTTATGAGTTCTAGGTACGAAATTTTAGGACATGTGATTATACGAAGACCGTTACAGTCTCGACCATTGACATGCAGAGAGATCGCTTTGCCGGTAATGTCGTCAAAAATTGCAAAACGTTTGTCGAAGGTCCACCAGTTGGA